CCTGCACAAACCTGCACAAACCTGCACAATACTGCACTAAGCTGCACAAACGAAGCACAAAAAAAGTATACTGTTTTGGTTAATTTCGGAGGTTGCTGGGGGGATGGTGACGTCATAATGAGCTAAAGACATAATGTTTAATATCTCAAAAACTCTAACAGCACAAATGCTCATTTTAACTGCACAAACCTGCACAAATGAAGCACTAACCAATCCGCTTACTTGTTTGGATTTTTTGTGTGGGTGGGGTGTCAGCTTCACACTGCTCCCAGGATGAGCTGGAAAATGTTGCTGGTGAAAGGGATGTCTGGATTTCTCTCCTGGACTTGTTGCCTCCACGACCTGACTATGGATGAGTGGTAGAAGACAGAATTAGCTTTAGTGGGTTTGCTTTGGACTTAACTTAAAGACTTTGGTGAAAAAGTCCATGTAGACCAACAGAGTGCTATACCAAAAAGGCAGAAGCCCAGTAGATGATGGCTGGAGATGTGGGAGAAGATTCAGACTAGTGGAAACGTTGCACCTAGTAGATGCTGGTGAACGCTACAGATGCTACATGTAAGAACAAAAACTACAGCCATGTAGCGTGCAGCCTGATGAGTTTACATAACAGGAATGTATCATATACTTTACACATTTGAGTATCTGTATTTGAGCTAATCACTATGATCCCCAATCCAACCAAGTGTTTTTAGTACTAAAAACAGCTCAGTTTGAGTTTTCTATAGACCTTTTATCTAAGATCACATAAGTGCTAAAAGGAAAAATCAAGTTCTTTGTTAAGCTGCCACTGTCCATCATCAGAAACTCTGGTACCACACGGCAAGATCTGAGTTGTTGGTTTGACAGAGTGTTTTTGCTCACGTAATGCATGGGTCTGCAACCTTTACAATCAATTACGGTCAGTGGAGGTGACATTGTAAAACAAACAAAAAAAAAATATTATTATTGTATTATTTATTATTATACACATCAGGACAAATAAAAATACCATATTTATGTAAACAAGAAAAATACCGTATGTAGCTTATACTGAATTTCATTAATATTTAAGTAAACAACAGGCTAGCATGAGCTAACATGTTTTACTTTTTGTATTAGTAGTATTGATCACATATTTGCACACAAATTGATTTCTGTTGTATGAAAAAACAAAAAAATGTATTCTGTTATGTTTGGTCATATTTTCAAAGAGCCACAGGTTGCAGACCCCTGACGTAATGACTCTGTCAGTCGGAGGCGTAGGAGTGGAGCATCAACAATTGATACTTCCACGTTCACACGGGGCACTAATGTGCAGTGMAGGCACATGTTGAACAGGGCCGTGTGCAAAAGGCTGACACCAGGTCTCACTAGGGACACTCAGACACTGACATCTTATTGGGGGTGTTAGCACCTCCCGAGTCATGGTGTGAATCTTTCTACCAAGGGATTGTAGGACTGCACAGTAACTGGTTAGTAATATGCATCATAAACARAACATTTTTAAAGTTAACACACTTTATTTAGACCAGACCGTGCAAAACATGAAGTACAAAACTACTCATTCTGTTTTCCCATGAAGATAAGTTGTTTCGATTGAACTGTCACAAGAAAAAAAATAATAAAAAGGCCCTTTCAGAAAGAGAAAAGTTGATCAAAGTCAGAACCAGATAATGTTTGATAACTGTGGTCTTGATATATATGATATATAATATTCACACYTTAAATTACACACAAAATTACATTCAAAATGTTTTAAAACCAACACTCACTCAAAGCCAGACATAATTCTGATGTGAATGTCAAACTGTGTATTCCTGTTAGAAATACTGACAAAGTTAATAATCACATGTTGAGATGTTTGATTTTTACTAAATACAGCAACTGTAGGAGGAATGCAAACACATATGTGACAAAACATCTTTAGGTTTTAAATGACTTTTAATGGAAATAAAATAAATCTGATGTACAGGTGCTGCGCCAACAGTGGCAATTTTTCTTCTTCACCTACCCTTTTTGTCTCGTTTTCTCTCTTTCTTTTTTTCTTTTTTTTAATTTTACATGGCTTGTCGTATCTTTTCTAGACTCTTCTCGATGTTGTCAATAACTTCAACAGCAGCTTGTGGGATCCTGGTTCCTGGGCCAAAGATGGCACTAACACCACTGTGATACAGGAACTCATAGTCCTGCAAGCAAACAGGCAGAGCACAATTTAGACTTTTTTTTTCTTAATAGTTCAGCATTAGAGGAAGCTGCACTTCTAAAAACTATATAAGAAAATCAACCTTTCTTATTGGTACAGTGGAGCTGTTGGCATACAGAGCATTAATCACAGATTTAGTTAATGCTTTAGGAACTGAACTTATCACAAACTAGTTCTTTGTTTAAAACCAGTAAGATCACATCTGTGTGTTCTTGTATAAGTAAAGTTTGTCTTGTTTCTGAAACACAGTACTCAAGCCGAAACAACTGTAATCAAATTTAATCTAYCGAAAAAAAAATTCCACTTCACATCAGTTCTTCCGTTGCTATCTTGTTGACATGATAACCAATGTGATTAACAGCAACCAAAGTGGCTGCATTAATCACACAGAATACATAAGTGTGACAAATAAGAAAAATGGAAATGGATTCTTCTTGAGTCTTTCCAAAAAAAAGGCATTAGTACAAAAATCTCCAACCGTTAGTTTCCACAGTCACTATAAACTCAATTCACTAATCAGGAGCCAG